ATGTATGTCTATACATTATATGCATATAAACAAGCCAAAGGGCCACAATAGCCAATGCTGAATTTAAAGTTATTTTATATTAACTCAAAAGTCTAATAAATAAATAATAGAAAAATACATATAATTCTTTACTTATTATATATTATATTTATAAAAATTTTAAACAAATTTAATTGTAAATTCAATCTAATAATATATTCATTATATATAATCACAAATGGAATTGAACAGAAATCAAAATTAAGTCATATTACATAGAGAAAGCTCATACTTAGCTTTGCCAATTCAACGACATCCACTTTACTATAAACGAAACTCAGATTTAGTAAAATTCGGAGAAAATAAATATGAAAATATTGAGCTAGCAGAGAGTTGCGGCAGTAAAAGGTTTTCTGTCCATCTCCATTCAATATATCATAATGCAGTTCCATTAGCAGCTGCTATTTGTGGATTTGTGCCGGGATCCATTTATAACGCCTGCATATGCATGACGTCGACTATTGTCGTCTATCGGCCGCGGCCCCAGCCCCGGCCCCGGCCCCGGCCCCGTCCTGGCATAAATCAGAAGTGGAGCGAGTGGCCGGGACATTTCTCATGCGCACACATGACTTGGCTTGCAATTAAGAGAAATATATTAGTCTCGCAGCTGATTTAATTATTTAACAATGAAGTCCAAGCGCGAGTGCCGGGATAACCAACAGGCCACGCCCATAAACAAGCGAAATGACCAATTCCAGCTACAGCTTCAGCTACAGTTACAGTTACAGTTCGAGTTCGAGTTCCAGCTGCCAGCTCGACCCATCTAAGCGCTTCAGACAACCGCATCACAGTCAGACAAAAGCATCAACTGGGCCAGCCAAAGGGGCGGGGGGAGAGGTGGAAGGGGGTGGGGGCATAGGAGGCTGGGCTGTGTGTAATTGCAGCAGCGCGCATAATTCATATCAAATGACCATTTTAAAATCCTTTTATTTCGTTGCGTCGTCCTGGGGGGCTGCACAGGGGCGGGGCAGCCCACAGCCCCAAAATATTTGAAATAATAATTCTTCGAGATAAATTACCCCAAAAACAGGTGTGTGTGTGCGCCACTCTAAATTGCCCGGCTCCGGGCCTGGCTGGGGCGGGTGTGGGCTCGGGTCCGGGTCGGAGTCTGGGTCCGGGCATGGGTACTGCCGTTGGTCGTAGTTCTGGTTATGGTTATGGTCGGTTATGGTCTTAGTGCTAGCCTCACAGCGCGAGACAATGACACAGAGCCGCAACAACAACAACAACAACAACTACAATAGCACCAGCAACAAGAGCAACTAAGGCTGGCCATCACTCCTCCAACCAATCCCAGTGCCTGTTCCAGTTCTGCGCCCGGACACCGTTTCCCATTCGAGCTCGTGCGCTGGCAGTCGGTCAGTGGACAGTCGTCGAATAGCAGCAGCAGCAGCGGCAGCAGCAGCGGATGAGCTTAAGTGCTCGCCTTCTGGCTGCTCCTCGCTCTGCGTTTGGCATTTAGCATCAGGAAATTATGCTGACGCTGCCAACTACGGGCCAAGCTGCGTCCATGGCCAGGGCAATCAGCGGCGTCTGCAGATGTGCATGCACATGTCCATGTCCCTCGTATCTGTCTCATATCTGCTGCTGAGTTGCTCTCTCTCTCTCTGTCTCTGCGTCTCTCTCTCTGTCTCTGCGTCTCTCTCTCTGTCTCTTTCTCTTGCAACGCCCGCTCTAATGAGTTGCCGTGCCTCGCCAGGGCATATGTTGTCCCCCAGTGGGACACCGTGGCTGCCGAGCTGCATTTCTCGCTTGATTGCCAGCCCGCTGGCCCGCCGGCTGCTCTGTCACACATCTGGGTGCAAATTATGGCACATTTCAAATACATAGCGCCCCACTACACTGAGAGAAGATTTATGGAATAAATTACAAAATATTTAATTTAGTATATTATATATTATTAGATAATTATAGATAGATATTATATTATTTTAGATAAATGTACATACCATAAAATAAAATAATTAAAAAATTTTGTATTAGACCAGAATTTAAAATTAAATTTTATATAAAAATAATTAATTAATATTTGTTGTTTAATTCATTCATATTTATATACATTTATAATTATATTTGCTGCACTAAATAATTTTCAAAATAATTTGATTCATTTATATTTATATACAAATAAAAATAAACAAAATTTGAGCAAAAATATATATAAATAAATTATAAAACTGATATTTGAATACTTTGTATAATATATGTACATAGTTTTATGAAATAATTTTATTATTTAATTAATCAATATAGAAATAGTTTGACTTCCTTAAATCAAATTTTTATTAAAATTTTAATACAACGTTTATAATATATAATATAATAATTTGTAAAAATTTAACATGCTTAACATTTTTTTTATAATTTTTAATTTTCATATTAAAATTAATTTAAATATTAAAATATTTCAATTCTTTGAAAATAATAGATTGACAATTTCGATAGCCATTTTCATTGTCAACTTAACAATTAAATTAATAAACAATTTAGTAATAGAATACTGAACTTTTTATCTATTTCATCACTTAGAACTTAGACTAATTATTCTCAGTGTAATTCGCACTGTAAAATGTGCCGAGCTCTGCAGCAAGAAAGAGAGCGCGATAATCGCATAAAAGTTTACATTTATGAATCTCCGGCTAGGTTCGGATAGGTGCAGAGCTCAACGGCGCACACACACACACACGCACACACACACCCATACACACATATGACCGCATGCAGCGAGTGTGGCAGTCACAAACACCTCGGCCGTAAAACATTTGGCTGACGGCAGCATACAAAGACTGACGGACCAAAGAAAGGACGGACAGCTGTTTGCGGATAGAGGAGGCTTGGCTCTGGGTGGCAGCAGCTCGGACTAGGCGCAAATGCAACAGCAAATGAGAGAGGGACATAGAGAGAGAGAGAGAGAGAAGGAGAGAAAGAGAGAGTCGGTAGATAGAATGAGGGGGGAAATGAGGCGGAATCTGGCAGGGACGAAAACAAAAAGGCGCGAAAATCCATTCGCACATAAAATGCGCCGCAGTGTGCATTATTTTAATGTCACTGATAAATCATTTTTATGTCGGTGCTAAATCAAAAGATGGACGAGCAAACGCCGTATTTCAAGCGTAGCAGCACGGGCACGACTCTGCTCCTGGAGCATGGTGTATGACACACACATACACACACACACACACACTCATATATGCAACTGCAAGTGGTGCAAGGTGCGCTGGTCGGTGGGCTGGGGTTGGGTTCGGGTCGGGTCGAGCCGGGTTGGCGTTGCATTCGTCCATTAAAATGCGCTCCGGTGTCCAAAACACAAGCACAAAGGTGTGCTCAGAGCTCTGTTGCCTGCCAGCCCACCTGCCCACCTGCCCACCTGCCCGAGCCACGTTTATTTATTATTAACACAAAAAAGACCCCCAGGACGAATTGCAGTTGCGAGTGAGCGAACCGGCGAGCCAGCGAGCCAGCCTCCGGGCCTAGGACCCTACCAGGCGTTCTCTCAGCTCTGCCGCCCACCCCCCAACCCCTCACCCTTTGGTACGCGCAAGTGCGCTGAGTGGCTCATAATTCGTCGTCGTCGTCGTCGTCGTCGTCGCTTCTCCACTGCAGAAATTCATCTGTTTGTGGTTCAAACACGTGCCGTGCCAGAAATAATGTGCGCCAGAATCAGCAACGACTAATGGGGCTACATAGCGCGCACTGCCCTGCCCTGCCCTCGCCTCCCCTCCTCATCCACTGCCTACACTTGGCACTTTTTGGGGCTCAACTGCACACCGAAATGCTTTTCTTTTAACCTCTGTGCTGCTGGAGTATATCTAAAGAGCAGCTAATAGGTAAATGCATATTGCAATAGTTAAAGGAAAGTGAGAGCCGAAGTAGGCACGATTGCCCCAAATGTGTGCTATGGAAAATGAATTACTACGGTGCAGGGATCGCTGCGAGATTCAATATAAAATATATACTCTGATGTAAAAAGTAAAATAAAGAAATACTCCATATGCAAAAGATGCAAATTTCAAATATAAACTCTAAATATTTGTATTATTATTGAAATGAGTTTATCTCTCATTGCAGGTTTATCAATTGGAAAACAGCTCTAGGAGTTCAGATTGCTATAAAGTATATATAAGAAAAATAATAAAAAAAAATGATAAATGAATTTCAATTAGTCAATTTATAGTTTAAGATGTTTTAATTAAGATAGTTTCATTTAAATATAAATAATAAATTATTAAATAATATTAAAATTATTTAAAATATATATAAATAATCTATAAGAACTCTATCAAGCCATCAAAAAGTGCATAATTTATTTTGTAGTTTTTTAAGTGAAGTTAAAATGAATGCTGTATAAATTATATTTATCAATTATATTGGTATATTTAACATATATGTGGCTTTACTTTATTTTAATTACCGCTTTTATTTATATTTATATTTTATAAGATATTAATTTTGTTATTTTCTTAAAGTTTAAAAATCTAATACGATTGACTACTATAACTATTTTTACTATATTATGTATATTTTTATTAAAATTTAAGTTGTGTTAATTAATTAACTACTTTAATCAGTTGGCTTCAAATTTGATATATAAAAGAAATTTATGATTTTAGCATATTCTTATTTAAGAATTTATTGATTTTAGATGTACGATTTCATCTTTAGAATATACAACGTTTATTGTGTATTTACATAAATAGGCAAAGAATTTATGTATTAGCAAAACAAACGATATAATTTGATTGTCTCTATCGATAATGCTTTAATTACTAATTTTTTATTTATTTTTTATTTAAAGATTGTGTGCATAGCAAGGATGCATACCAAGGTTCCCTACATAGTTGTTCGATCGATACATTCTACGACCTCTCGAGAACCTTTGAAACGCGCAAATAATGTGTAAAACTCGAAAATTTATGGAAACTTAATGCGCTCTTCAATTTAATTCGCTGCTTCAACTCATTATTTGTTGTGGGTCCTAGTTTGGGTGGCTCGTCATCAGGAAGAGGAGAGCTTGCGCAGCAGAAACGGAGTTATCCTTATGGCGGCACAGAGCACGGCAAACACTATGAAGCTGGCCCGAACCTCGTCCTTGGCGCGCATCTCGACCTGCGCCGGCTCGATTTGCTTAAGGCGCATCATGGCGAATGCTTCGGGGAGCAGAGATTGATCATATATATAGGATTTTCGGTATGTATACAGATGTGCATATGCTCACCTATTCACTTGAAACGTTTATCGCGATTTGGCTTAATGGAAATTTGGAAGTTTTCTTTTCGTTATTCGATTCTCAACAAACTGGCTCACATTTATATGCT